ATATATATACCCATCTATTGTCCTAACTATGTATAAGTGTACCCATCTATTGTCCTAACAATGTACGTGTCTTCCTTGTCGCTTCTTTCACACCAGACATCAACGAGTGTTTGCCACGTCCTTGCATGAACGGCGCCGTCTGTCTGAACCACGTCGCCTCTTTCACCTGCCAGTGTGCGCCAGGCTTTACTGGAATGCTGTGTCAGACAGGTACTTAAAGTAGTGTTCAGCTGATTTGGAACCTTTTTCAATACTATTCAGACTATATAATAAGTAGCATGGTGGGGTGGCGGAGCGGTTAAGTTTGGGTTCGAGCCTCTGTCCGGACACGGATTTTTTCGCCCCTCCTGCCCACCCAGCAGTAATGGGTACCTGACTTCGAGTTTGGGAAGTAAAGGCAGCGTAGAAATGAAGAGGTCACCTTACCACAATATGCCGAAGGCCCAGGAAGTTGTCTCACTAACAAGGCAATCCCCAGTGTCCGGATCGGATGCGGGGACAACTTTACTTTTTACTTTTTTAATAAGTGGCATGGAAAAGTATATTGTTGTAGGAATCAAAGTCGTTTTCAACTTTTCAACGTACTACGGTTGTGTGAGTGTCGGAACAGGAAAATGAGTGTCCTTCTTCCATAACACTGCGCCAAAAGAATGAACGGACATTACATAAAAAAGCTCACAGAGAATCCCATTCAGGAATGCCTGTGGGAGATCGAGCCACGGTCAACCGGAAGTCCAGCAACTTGTCCACTGAGCTAACAGCTAACACCTGGCAAAACGGACCTCGGAATGAACATTCATGTTTTATATTAGAGGAAGAGAAGTTTTTATCTCTCCAAATAGCGTGCATGTGTGTGCGCACACAAGGGATTTGAATCAATATACTGCATTTAAAGTAAAGACTGAGCAAATAAAATAAGGGAAGATGTTTTCGCAGTCTAACGATGCTTGGTTTTAAATGCCAGCTAGACAAATTACTATAATATAATATTCTGTGTCGGTTTAGTGATACTGATGTGCGAAAACAAATGTGTCCAAATCACAGGACATTAATGATAACATTGGTTCATAGTACTGATGTGTGAAAACTAGTTTTCCTGAGTTATGAAACACCTGACTTAGTGGTGTGTGAAAACGACACCAATGTCTGAATCATACTACACGTATTAGTTCAGTGGAGCTGATGTGTGGGAAAACGTTAATTTGTGCTTGAGCCGTAAGACACTTATTGGTTTCGTGTTACTAATTTGTGAAAACACTCGTGCATGAATCATACGACTCGTATTAGTTCAGTGGTACTGATATGTGAAAACAAGCGTGCATGAATCATACGACACTGTTGTGTTATGTTGCAGGGTTTGACTTCTGCGCGTCCAGCCCCTGCAAGAATGGCGGGATCTGCGTGAATGGTTTCCTGGGCTTCACCTGTAGCTGTGTCGACGGCTGGCAAGGTCTGACCTGTGGCTATCGGAGCAGGTGAGATATTGGGATTGGGAGGGGGGGGGCGTACTGTGGTTGTTGCTGCCGTCCAATGCCGTCTCGGTTTTCGTGTTCGCATATTGTTTTTAGCTTTAGTAAGGTTTTACGGCGCTCGCAACTGCATAAGGTCATATGACCGCCAAGGGGTGGATGTCAGCAGAGAAGTCCAAACGGGGAATCAGGCTTACTCTGCTCACCTCTCTAGCCTCAAAAGCACAAAAGTCTGCTTCGACTATCAAGGCCCGGAAATAGCAGTTCACAAGAGAGTGACAAACGTACAAAAGAAGTAGAGGAAAATGGCGATAGTAAGGATGAGGAAAGAAAAAGCAGCAGTTCCCCCTATGTTGTTCCGGAACAGTATGAGCTTGTCATTGATAAATCAGCCCATTTACAATTATACTGTGCATAAGAACATGTTAATATCCCCCCTTTGGGAATGGCCTAAAGACAACTTCAGTCAGTAGCACTGCCCTGGTGGGGAGTAAAAGGATTTAAGCGGATTGCCTGCGACATTGCTATTCCTACCACCATTAAAGGGGTTATGTCTTCTGTTGGCGTTCAGTGGGGTGGGGGAAGGGTGGGGAAGGGGGGG